TCCAGGTCTGAAGGGGCTGGGAAGGGGAGACTCTCAGAACAAGGCCTGGGCCCTCCCCGGGCTGGGGGCGCCAGCCTGGCTCTCGGACGCCTATGCAGGGATTTTGGTCCGTGTCCTCTGACCAAATCATACCGCCAAGAGAGCTGACCTTTTCACACTCAGGAATCTTCCCATCCTCTATAAATTAAACTCCTTTTAGCTAGGAGACTGCTGTACATAACTGCATTACAAATGCCCACTCCAGGCCACGCTTCCCAAGCCCTGGCCCCCGGCGTCTCGTGGCTGATGGAGGAGTCTCTTCTCGGCGTTGTTGTCATCGTCGGGAGATCAGGAGGCTGGGCTCCTTGGTGTCACGGGGACAGATGGCGTGTTTGGTGGCTCGGCTGCACAGGGGCTGACGGTGACTGACAGTGAGCAGTGGGCAGCCCTGGCACAGGGAGCTCTCTGGCTTCTCAACACAGCAGTCAGCTGGTGGGAACAAGGCGCTTCCTTCTCCGGCTAAGGATGTCACTGCTCAGGACTTCCGCATCAAGGCATTCACAAAACACTCGCTCCCTCTCCATTTCTCCTGGTCAAGAACTCCCTGTCACTAATTATGACACCAGTCATATACGGCTTGTGGCTTCGCACTCATGGGATCAATTTCCAGGCTCGGAGCTGGATCAAGTGCTGTCACTCATTGACATAGATTCTTACAAGTTTTTTTTTCCCCTCCAAACCAAAGTTTGGTAATCACACCAGCGCCACCTTAACAGTGTTGTGCATCTGCTAGATGCCATGGGTTGGGGTGGGAGTGGGTTGGGGGGGGGACACGCGCAGTCCCACTGCCACCAATCTGAGCCCGCAACTCCACACCACCACACTGACCTGGGTCACATTTCTTTTTTTATTTGACAGGCAAAGTTAGACAATGAGAAGGAGACCGACAGAGAGAAAAGTCTTCCTTCCATTGGTTCACCCCCCAAATGGCCGCTATGGCCAGCGCTGCGCCGATCCAAAGGCAGGAGCCAGGTGCTTCCTCCTGGTCTCCCATGGGGTGCAGGGCCCAAGCACCTGGGCCATCCTCCACTGCCCTCCCGGGCCACAGCAGAGAGCTGGACTGGAAGAGGAGCAACCAGGACTAGAACCCGGCACCCATATGGGATGCTGGTGCCGCAGGTGGAGGATTAACCAAATAAGCCATGGCGCCGACCCCCTGGGTCACATTTTTAAAATGAGTGCTATTCCCTTCACTCCCCGTCTGCACCCAAAAGGCACAATACTGGTTGTGCTTGGTCAGGAACGCAGGAAAAGAGGTATGGAAGCTGACAGTAGTACAAGTACTCTCCTAGTATAAGAACAGAGGAACGCGCAGGCAGCCCACCCTGGGAATGCTATTTATACTTCAGCCCGGCTCATTCAGCACTTGTGACTGAGCGCCCACTGGATTCAGCTGTTGTCGGGACCGCGTGTTTACCGAGTCATTAACGAGTATTTATAATACAAAAAGATGGGTTTACTTAAAAAAAAAAAAACAACACAATGACATGATGCCGTTTGAAAAATGAAATGACAGGATGGCATCTGTTACTTGTTGGAGCACTGTAACCAGATTTCCATCAAGTCTAAATTATTCTGGGGCTAATTATCTGGTCCTGCCTTCCCCCAGTGGCCTCTCTGCTAACGCCACTGCGTGTTGACACCCTCGGGAAGGAGAAGGGAAGAGAAGTGACAGGAGCCCAGATTCTCCTCTGACAAAGTGTCGCTGCCGGGGAAGCTGGGTTAGACTGGGGGAGGGGTGAGGTGGGGGGGTGCTGAGACTGGGATGAAGGGCGGGGGGAGGGCATAGGGTGGTTGAAATTTACTGATCCCAGGAAATTTTCCTTGGGCCATCAGACAAGGGCCGCCTCTCTGCTGTAAACAACTGTGAAGTAACTGATCTTGGCTCTGGCCCCGTCTCCCGGCACCTAGTTTGTGCTCAGTACCCACCAACTGAAGCTTGGAGACATTTTGCAGGATTTTAGGCCACTCTGGCCTCTTGAGGATAGCTTAGTTTTATTGTCTAAAGGAAGATACTGGGGGCTGGCACTGTGGCACAGCGGGTTAATGCCCTGGCCTGAAGCGCTGGCGTCCCATAAGGGCACTGGTTCAAGACCCGGCTGTTCCTCTTCTGATCCAGCTCTCTGCTATGGCCTGGAAAAGCAGTAGAAGATGGCCCAAGTCCTTGGGCCCCTGCACCCACATGGGAGACCTGGAAGAAGCTCCTGGCTCCTGGCTCCTGGCTCCTGGCTTCAGATCGGTGCAGCTCCGGCTGCTGCGGCCAATCCTGGAGTGAACCATCAGATGGAAGCTCTCTCTCTCTCTCTCTCTCTTTCTCTCTCTCTCTCTGCCTCTCCTCTGTGTAACTCTGGCTTTCAAATAAATAAAATCTTAAAAAAAAAAGAAGGGAAGAGACTATGCCCAGTTTTGCAGGATTTTCCCACAACTTTTTCAGCGCAATGGTTGAGGGTCTCCCCGAGTTGTTTCTCTTAACTGTGACCAATTTCCAATCGACTGGGATGCAGGGCACCGGGAAGCAGCTCTCTCTCCATATGATGGAACTGTGAGAGCGCTTTTCTCTTTTATCTAGATCCATACACGGAGAAACAATTTTATTATAGCTGTCAGCCAGGAAAAAACACATTATCTGTATTGCTAATGGAGAGAACCAATGACACCGAGATTCGCTGATATGGAGAGTGATGCACTTACGGCAGGCTCAGCCCAGCATGCTGAGAAACGTGTCTTTTAGGGAATGGCCCGAGACCTGCAGATGGGATTACACCCATGTCGCTGCGGCTGCTTCTCACTGAGCTCTCAGATCCACAGCCTAGAAACTGCATCTCGTTTTTCCATGCACTGGTTTTCTTTTCTTTTCAATACACCAAGCTCTTCAAACCATCCACTGAAGTTGCGGGGTTTGAGCCCCCTCTGCTTGGTCACAGGGTTAGGGAGGTTTGGGCTTCCAAATACAAGCTCCCCGTTGGCATTTCTAGAAGCGTCTTTAACCCCCACTACCTAACCCTAATATCACAAATGCAGCTGGCCAAGTGATTCTGCGCTCATTCCAAGCCCTCCCTGGGGATTAATTACCCCCCCCCCCCACTGCTTCTGGGGTGGTGGGGAAGATGAAGGAGGGGAGGGGGTGAGGGCCAGGAGCCTGTGGGGTGGGGTGTGTGGTCCAGCTGCAGCAGCCATGGGAAGTGGAGGACAACACATGTCCTCCTGGGCCACCCTTGAACTTTCCGAAATCCAATTATCCTGGAATATGTTCATTAAAGGAAACAAACAGACAAAAAATGTGGTTTTGGCTTTCCGCCCTCAAATTCTGCACCCTAATGAGCTCACCCATGTCCAAGGACTACTTGGAACCACGCCTTAGTACTCTCACTCCTCAGCGGAGTCGGCAGAGATGGACAGACCGCACCTGCGCCCCGGGTGAGGTCAGGGAGGGAGGTGGAGATGCAGGAGGTGAGGATGGATGGGTCCCTCCTTCTCCCGCTGTCATCTGTGTATCTTAGGCATCCCCCCCCCAGGAGGTGTGTCAGGGGCGGGGCTATCACAAAGGTCTTCCAGATGGTCCTAGAAATGTCTATCAGTACCAAAACTAGGCGTGGATGTTTCACGTTTGTTGCACTAAAGTAAACTTCTTTTAATTCTGATTTTCCACAAACTGAAATACTCTCATTTTTGGGAAGCTGGGACTTGAAGTCTTTAGAACCATCCTATTTTCCAGCTTTCAGTGGGGGTCAGTGTTTAGCAGTGTGGCCCCGCTGCAGGCCACTAGAGGGCGGGCGCTCTCATCCCCGGGGCGGGGACTTCTGTTTCCTGCCTCCCAGGGACCCACACTCGATGCTCCCTGAACAGGACGGAACCTGGACCTCTGAAACTCCATCTTCTGCCTTCCATGCTGTCCTGGACACTTTTTTTTCCCTTTGACAGCCTAAATATTGTCAGCATCATTTTATCATCTGTTGTTGCCAGTTTCTCAAGAGTGGTCCAGGGTGTTATTTTTACACCTCTTCTTCTGCTGATCTTCCTGCTTTGAAAACGTTACTAGGAATGACCTACACCCAGACTTCCATGCTAGAGTGGGGGAAAGATAAAAGATAACAGGGTTTTTTTTTCCCATATGAGAATCAGTTATATTATTATGAAGAATATCTCATTTTGGAAGGAAAAAAAAACTTTTAGGAGTGAATCATTGAATCATTATTTTTTTTTTGCTTATTATAATTTACAAAGCCAAAAAATGCTTCTCTTTCAGATAGAATAAAAGTGTCAATAGGCCACAATACAGATACTTAGAAATCTAAGACTCATTAAGGCTGTTTGCATTTATGGGATGAGCTTTCATTTTTCCCTAATTTGTTTTCATTTTATTTGAAATGAGAGAGAGGGAGAGAGACATACACACACACACACACAGACAGACACAGGGTGGGTAGGGAGGGAGGGATACGGAGAGAGATCTTTCATTTGCTGGTTCACCTCCCAAATGTATACAACATCCAGGGCTGGGCCAAGCCGAGGCCAGGAGTCAGAACTCTACCTGGTCTCCCACGTGGGTGGCAGGGACTCAGCATTTGAGCCACTTCCTGTTGCCTCCTAGAGTGTGCGTCAGCCGGAAGCTGGATCAAAAGTGGAGCAGCTGGGACTCGAACCAGCATCCTGATACTGGATGCCGTGACATCACCTCTGTGCCAAATGCCTGTCCCCCAAATATTCTCAGCCTCTTGACACTCTGGATGCCAGCCCTATTAGCACTTGCTGTTCTTTCTATGTGTCCAAAAACCCCACCAGGACTTACTGGGGTACATTCTGAAGTAAGGCTTCCACTCCCTTTCAGAGGGGCATTTAAGACACCAAGTCCCACAACAGAAAATGGCCACACTGTATTCAGACGTACCCACCATGCTTCTACCTGCGGTGCTTCCATTTTATCCTGCCCCTCGCCGCGTGCACAAAACAATCGTACTTACATGTCATCGAAGACAAGCTTCTGTCTCTTGCAGTCCCTGTGGCCATTGGATCCTGGGGACCAAGGCTCTGTCTGTGGCCGTGTCTTGCCATGGAGGAGAATGTTTTCGGAGCTGTGAGCTGCTTTCTAAACAACAAAAACACGTGTGTCTGAGACACTGGCTGACAGGCCGGAGAAGCAGCCCACTAAACAGAACACCTTTGGTTGTACAGAATATCTCTGTGTTAAGGGTGCATTTGTTTCTACGAGATACAAAGAAATACTCGTACCGGTTGAGACTCCCTTATCCAAAAGTGCTGGGGACCAGAAGTGTTTCCAATGTTGGACTCCTCTGGGTTATGGAACACTTGCATTTACAAGGTGAGACAGCTTGGGAAAGGGGCCCAAGGCTAGACATAGAAGCTGAAGGTTAAGTTTATAGCATAGGTCCAGTGCACATTCATGTGCACTGGGCTCCGGCCCATGAGGTCAGGTGTGGCATCGCCCACCTGTGGCATAGTGTTGGGGGCGGGGGTGAATACGTTTCGAGTTTTGGAGCATTTGGATTCTCAGATGCTCAGCTTGGACCTGCACCCCAGGGCGTGAGCTGAGGGCTCCTGTGCTCAGTGTCAAGGGGGAGTCTTACTATGCTGGGTCTCACAGGTTCAGAAACTGAGAGGCCTAGCAACCTGCTCCAGTCCAGGCAGCACCGTGGGTGGGGGCCCACGGGCTGGGACCCAGGCCCCTGTGTGTCCCCAGTCCTGTCTCACCAGGGCCACCGAGCCCTGTGGTGTGTGTGTGTCACAGTCACGCCAGCACAGGTTCAAACACTGGCTTCCGGGCCCCACCTGAGGGTTTTAGAGTTAGCAGGCCTGGGCTGGGGCCTGAGAATCTGAATTTCTGACCCCTTTCCGGGGCAATGCTGAGGCTGCCGATTCACGAAGCAAGTTCTCACAGCCACTGCACTGGAACTGCCCCCCGGTAAAAAAAAAAAAAAAAAAAAAAAAAAAGTCACTGAGCCCACAAATCACTGCCTGGTTCTCACGGCCTTTCTGTGAGAAACAGAAAAAGCCAGAGGAAGCCCCTTGGAATTTCTGAAAAGAGGAACAGGTGCATCTGTGGAGAAATTTAAACTTGACGTGGCCTGGGGCTACAAATATTCACATGACGCCTACTGTACGTTAACGCATGGATCAAAGAGCAAGTGTCTTTGGTTAGAAAAAGCGAGCTGACTGCGTTGAGGGTACACAGATGCCATCGTTAGGCTGACATTCTTTTTTTTTTTTTTTTTTTTTTTTTTTTTTTTTTTTTTTACTTTTTGACAGGCAGAGTGGACAGTGAGAGAGAGAAAGAGAGAGAAAGGTCTTCCTTTTCTGTTGGTTCACCCTCCAATGGCTGCTGCGGCTGGCATGCTGTGGCCGGCGCACCGCGCTGATCCGAAGCCAGGAGCCAGGTGCTTCTCCTGGTCTCCCCTGGGGTGCAGGGCCCAAGCACTTGGGCCATCCTCCGCTGCACTCCCGGGCCACAGCAGAGAGCTGGCCTGGAAGAGGAGCAACCAGGACAGAATCCGGCGCCCCGACCAGGACTAGAACCTGGGGTGCTGGCGCTGCAGGCAGAGGATTAGCCTAGTGAGCCATGGTGCCAGCTCTTAGGAGATTTTTTAAATCCCCTGTTCTGACCAGGAAGATCAGATGTTACATTGCGAAGTTCTTCCTAAAATTCTTCAATGGTATCCACTCGCCCTTGGTAGAGGGAGCAACATCAGGAAAACTGTGTCTCCTGCCTGCATGGGTGGGTTTACTTTCCTCTTAGCCACGCCCCCTTTATTCCCTGCTCCTCAGACTCCTGGGCCAGTTCTTCTTCAGGACCTTTGCACATGCTGTCTCCTTTGGGAAGTTTTTTTTTTTTTTTTTTTTAATTATTCTTGCTTCACTGCTACTTGCCTTTTCTAGATTTTTTTTTTTTTTTTTTTTTTTTTTTTTTTTTTTTAATTTTTGACAGGCACCACGCTGATCCGAAGCCAGGAGCCAGGTGCTTCCCCTGGTCTCTCATGGGGTGCAGGGCCCAAGGACTTGGGCCATCCTCCACTGCACTCCCGGGCCACAGCAGAAAGCTGGCCTGGAAGAGGGGCAACCGGGACAGAACCCGGCGCCCCGACCGGGACTAGAACCTGGTGTGCCGGCGCCGCAAGGCGGAGGATTAGCTTAGTGAGCTGCGGCGCTGGCCGCCTTTTCTAGATATTAATCAGGGGTCAGCAACCTATGTCCTGTGGATCAAACCTGGCCCTTCTTATAAATAGTTTTATCAGGAACTAGAGATGCCCATGAGCTCTGATCCTAAGGCTACAGATAACGGTTCCCAAACGTGGGTTTAGAAGAAGGCTACGTTCCTGAAGATCTGGGACGATTTACGCTCCTGCAGGAACTCCCATCAACACGTTCCCATCTTTGATTCACTGGGAGGAAGTGTGAAATACCGCTTCCTCTCACATCTTTCTTTGCAGAGAATCCTGCGAGTGCATATGGAGTCACAACTTTTTTTTGCGCCTAAACAGATCTATCTTTTACTTCTACTTTCTATGAACTTGTTGAAGTGCTCCCACATTCTCCTCTCTTTCCTGGACCACGGAGCCCCGCTGGTTTGGCTGGGTGAAGGGAGGGAGGGGGATTCAGAGGGGAGAGTCTGTGTTCACTGGGCTCCAGACAGGCTGAGCAGCCCAGGGTGCCAACAAGGGCCAACCACGAGTCTCGCAGATTTTGGTGTGGGGTTTCAATGCCAGATTTGCCCCTGCCACCCGGGTGAGGAATTTGTCCCAGTAAAAGATTGATTTACTCAAACCTCTCTGCTCTGGGATGGTATCATATGGTGGGCTTCTGCCAAGGGGCTTTTGGGGCAGAAGGGGCTTAGAATGCCCCTTCCCGGGGTGGGGGGGTGCTTCTTGGCCCAGAGTGTGTGTGGGGGGAGGCGCTGCAAGGGTGAGGCAGCCTACAGGGACCCTGTGCGGGCTAGGGACCGACTAAGGGAGCCTGTGCAACTTCATCCCATCCGGATCCCAGACTGGGACGGGCAGAGCATACACCAACCGTGAGGTCCGCGGCGTGCGACTGCAGCTGCCCGTCGCCCTTGGGCTTCTTGTTGGAAGAGGCGGAGGTGAGCACGCTGTTGCCGTGCGGGCGGCCTGAGGAGGGCAAGTCCTCGCTGGGGTATTTGTGCTTCGACGTGTCTGAGACGGGGGAGATGGGCGGCCGGAGCAGCTTCTCATTTTTGTTGATTGGTATTGCCAAGCTGAAAGAGGAAGGACAGTTACAAGATGCAGAGGACAGCGACGGAACGCCACGCCGTGGGCACAGCCCAAGGTCAAGGTCTCCTATGTGACCTGGACTTCCCACTGAAGGCCTGCTGGCAGGGAGAGGTTTATGGGGAATGATTATACCAGGAAACAGCTTTATGGCATTAGGACCACAGCGAGTAATAAGCAAATAGCACTCGTTGTTTTCTTTGTTCTTCCTAGCAGGATGAAGAGAGTAATTCTGGAGTTAGCGCCACAGCAAATGATTGAGGATAAAAATACTTCGCACTTGTGAGTTTCCACCCCAGGATCTCAAAGTGCCCCAGTGCCAACAAGCAACTTTTCTCCCAACAAATGCGAGCAGTAAGTAATAGGGAAGCCAATCCACAGTGATACACGTTCTCCATCTGCGAAGGGACTTTTGCCAACTTCTGAGCTTGTATTCATGATAGAGAGAGTAACAGAATCACAGGAAAACCTGCAAAGCATGAAGCCAGTTGTCACCTGTGGAGTTTCTGAGTTAACCAGGCACCAACCAGAATAAACAAAGGATACAAAAGTTGTCATTAAAAGTTATAATTTCTGGGGCTGGCGATGAGGTGTAGTGGGTAAAGCTGCTGCCTGCAGCGCTGGCATCTCATATGAGCACCGGTTCGAGTCCTGTCTGCTCCACCTCTGATCCAGCACTCTGCTATGGTCTGGGAAAGCAGCAGAAGATGGCCCAAGTGCTTGGGTCCCTACACCCATGTGGGAGACCCAGAGGAAGCTGTTGGCCCCTGGCTCCGGCCATTGTGGCCATTTGTGGAGTGAATCAGCAGATAGAAGATCTCTCTCTGCCTCTGCCTCTCTGTAGCTCTGCCTTTCAAACAAATAAATAATTTTTTTAAAAAGAGAAAAAAAGTTATGATTTCTGGGGCCAGTGCTGTGGTATAGCAGGTAAAGCGTAGCCTGCAGCACCGTCATCCCATACGGGCGCAGGTTCAAATCCTCGCTGCTCCATTTCTGATCCAGCTCCCTGCTTATGCACTTGGGAAAGCAGTGGAAGATGGCCCAAGTGCTTGGGACCATGCCACCCATGCCGGGGACCCAGATGAATCTCCTGGATCCTGGCTTCAGCCTGGCTCAACCCTGGTTGTTCTGGCCATTTGGGGAGTGAACCAACAGATGGAAGAATTCTCTTTCTCTCTCTCTCTGCCTCTCCCTCTGTAATTCTGACTTTCAAATAAAATAAATCTTTAACAAAAAATATGCTACACTTTCTTGTGTCTCCAAAGTCAACCATCCGAGAGGAGGAATTCATTTCTATATGAGTCTCTGAAATGCACAAGACATTCCTAATAAAAAAAAGTATTATTTAGGGAAGACACTAGCTTGAAATAAACTCAATCAACTGCCAATTCAGGGCACTAACAGAGATCACCTCATAGAGTTTGTTAAGAAGGTAAAGCTATTTATTTATTTTAAAAGATTTATCTATGTATTTGAAAGGCAGAGTTACAGAGAGGCTGAGGCAGAAAGAGAGGTCTTCCATCCACTGGTTCACAGCCCAGACGGCCACAATGGCCAGAGTACCAGGCTTATCCTAAGCCAGGAGCCTAGAACCAGTAGCTTCCTCTGGACTTGGGCCAACTTCTACTGCTTTCCCAGGCCATAGCAGAGAGCTAGAGCAGAAGTGGAGCAGCCGGGACTGAAACCGGCAACTGTATGGATGCTGGCACTGAAGGTGGTGGCTTCACCTGCTACGTATGTCACAGCAACAGCCTTGGTAGAGACATTTAACAAAGATGTTGTTATTATTCCTAGGGCTAGGATCTTTTCTTTCTTCCTTTTTTTTTTTTTAAAGATTTATTCATTTATTTATTGGAGAGGTACAGTTACAGACAGAGAGAGGGAGAGACACAGAGTGAGAGGTCTTTTATCCACTGGTTCACTCCCCAAATGTCTGCAATGGCCAGAGCTGGGCTGTTTTGAAGCCAGGAGCCAGGCGCTTCTTCCAGGTTTCCCACACAGGTGCAGGGCCCAAGCATTTGGGCCATCCTTCTGTGCTTTCCTGGGCCATAAGCAGAGAGCTGGATTGGAAGAAGAGCAGTTGGGACAGGAACCGGCGCCCATATGGGATGCTGGCACCACCGGCAGAGGCGTAGCCTGCTACGTCACAGCGTCAGCCCCAGCTAGGATCTCTTAATTGCCTATGGCGGTTATCACGGCAAACAAGCCATTAAAGTCACTTCAAAAAGCAATCTCCTTAGCTGGCGGTCACAGAGGAGAAATTACAAACACAGCCCTCTAGAACAAATGACAAAGCCAAGGTTCTTAACGTTGGGTGAACAGATGCCCGTGGAGACAGAATTTCTGGCCGCTTAGGAAGACATGAGAAGCTATGTTATGGAAAAAGATTCCAGTGCATCCAAAGTAGTTCTTGTCCTGGTGGGGAAGAGAGCGATGTTGGAAATGGATGTGAGCAGCCTGAGCCTAATTGTTTCTGGAAATGTTAAGTGGGGAAAAAAAAAATCCCATCTCTAAATCCCTTTTTCTTTACACCCGTAGTGATTTTTACAGTGCATGGGAAACCGAATTACGACATCTAACACTGCTGTGGGTACACACCTGGGCCTCCTTCATCATGGCCAAGTTCGTGTAATCAACTTGCCCAAAGAAACCTTGTGTGGTTCTCCTCTCTGGGATGGGCGACCGCCTTGTCTCTGGGGTTGTTTCACTGCAACGGTGGAACCCAAGAGGCTTTGGAATCGCAATGCTGGTGGTGTACAGATCAGCCTGAACTCTAAGTACTTCCCTATGCACTGAGCTAGGAGGCTTTGCCGGGCAATTTTTTTTTTTTTAAAGATTTATTTATTTAAGAGGCAGAGTTATAGAAAGAGAGAGAGAACAAAGAGAGAGGTCTTCCATCTGCTGGTTCATTCCCCAAATGTCTGCAGTGCCCGGAGCTGGGCTGATCTGAAGCCAGGAGCCAGGAGCTTCTTCCAGGTCTCCTATGTGGGTGCAGTGGCCCAAGCACTTGGACCATTTTTTATTGCTGTCCCAAGTCCTAATGACTGATCCAGTGAGCTGGATCAGAATTGGAGCAGCCAGGACTTGAACTGCCACCCACATGGGAAGCTTAACTTACGATGCCACATTGACAGCCCCGTGGACAAGAGTTTTTAACTTGGGCTCCAGGAACTTGGATAGAAAATGTGACAATTCCCTTTTCTCTAACCTCTCACCGAAAGAGAACCTTTCTTTGAATTATGAATGGAGGCAGGAAACCAGAGGAGGGGTTCAGCCGCATCAGTGTTAGCAATACCTGAGGTTGCGTCACCGGTAGAAGTCAGAGTTATTTTCCTGTTATATTATAGTTGTTACGGACATCATCAAGTATTGTTTATATTGACTGCTTTTTGGAAATTGTTGCTGTCACTAGATTGGCTGGAAACGTTGTTGCTAATGCAACAAGAAAGAAGCATGCATAGCGTGGATACTTCAAAAAGTTCACGGAGAAAACGGGATTAAAGGATGAGCTTATGTGAGTGCAAAGAAATTTGAAATCCATGCATAACTTTTCTTTGTTTCAAAATTAGTTTTTGAATTGCATTTTGCAAACTTGAAAAAAAGATCTGAAAGGGAGCGAGGGAGGGAGAGAGAGAGAGAGAGAGAGAGAGAGATTGATTCGTTGGCTCACTCTCCAAATGCCCGCAATGGCTGAAAATGGGTCCAGGCTGAAGCCAGGAGCCAGGAACTCTATCTGGGTCTCCCACATAAGTGGTGGGGGCCACAGCACTTGAGCCAAACTCTGCTGCCTGCCTGAATGCATTAGCAGGGAGCTGGATGGGAAGCCAGGACTCAAACCAGCATCTAGGTATGGGGTACTGGGGTCCCAAAAGCCAGCTTAACCCACTGCTTCTATGACTGATGATATTCCACTTGCATAGAATAAATACTTAGGAGCTTGCCCTGCTAGACCACCACCCACCACTCCTGGATTCAGGACACAGTGGGTGTACCTGAAACCCTTCCGAGAATAGTCTGGGAGGCCACTTCACGCTGAAAGCACAGATCCTGTCTAACAGCCCCATCAGAGTCTGTATCCAGGAGCTGCAGGTGCATCACCTGCAGCTTCCATTCTAGGTGTGTCTTTAAACTTTTTTTTAAATTTATTTGACAGGTAGAGTTATAGACAGTGAGTGAGAGAGAAACAGAGAGAAAGGTCTTCTGTCCGTTGGTTCACTCCCCAGATGGCCACCATGGCCAGTGCTGCGCTGATCCAAAGCCAGGAGCCAGGTGCTTCCTCCTGGTCTCCCATATGGGTGCAGGGCCCAAGCACTTGGGCCATCCTCCATTGCCCTCCTGGGCCACAGCAGAGAGCTGGACTGGAAGAGGAGCAGCCGGGACTAGAACCGGTGCCCATATGGGATGCTGGTGCCGCAGGCGGAGGATTAACCAAGTGAGTCACAGCACCGGCCCCCTAGGTGTGTCTTTGTACATCCTTAACAGAAGCTGAAAATTATGGGTTTAGCACTCACCATTAATCCTGGCTTGAGGGCCTGGCATTGCGGTGCAGCAGGTTCAGCTGTTGCCTGCAACACTGCTGTCCCATGTCAGAGCACTGGTCATATCCCAGTGTTGCTCTGCTTCCAACCCAGCTCCCTGCTAATGCTCCTGGGAAAGCAACGCAAGATGGCCCAAGGGCTTGGGTTCCTGCCACCCACATGCTCCCATTCCCAGGACGGAGTTCCAGGCTCCTGGTTTTAGCTGGCCCAGCCTGGACTGTTGGGGAGTGGACTGGTGGATGGAGCTCTGTCTGTCTCTCTGCCTCTCGAATAAAGAAATAAAAAGAAATCCGACTCTCCTCCCACATGGCAGGCGATTTCGGATCCGGAGGGCCCTGCAGCCACCTCCTTACTGAGGGAACACGCCTACCTGGTGATGTTCATGTTGCAGTGGTTCGCGGACAGAGCGGTATTGGCGGAGGCACTCAATCGCGAGGAGGTCTCTCTCTCCCCCTGGACTTTCTTCGGCTCCCGATAGTCGTCGTCGTTGTCAAGCTGCGCAAGAATAAGCAAAGGCCGATCAGCTATAGCTCTCTGGGGGCCGGTAGGTGCTCCCAGGCACTGACCTCCACAGAGAGGGCTCTCTGGACGCTGGCCTGAGCAGCAATGCCCTGGTGCGGGTTCCCGGCCAGCTCTTCAGCCAACGAGGAGGAACTCTGCTGGATTTACAGTCAACAGCTTATTGAGAGGAAAGGCACACGGCCGTGAACAAATCTGGGAGGCAACATTTTTTTGAATGACGATAACCAGTCAGGATTTCACTGTCCACAGCAGACCTGATATGCATTCACACGGTGACATCAGCGTCACTCACCCTGGTATTTTTGGGGCTTAATACTGTAAGGACAGTGGCAAGCAGGGGCCATTCTGTTTTGGAATTCATGCCTCCCATGAAGCGCACGCAGAGGCTGTCCCCTTGTGGTGTCTCTATCCCAGCTCACAATTAGCATCCCATGATGTCTTAGAGCCCGGATGCACCTGCTTATACAACAGGACTTGGACTGGTTCTTGTTGCCCTGGCTGTGCTCCACTTGAGCTATGTGTCAGGGTGTGATGCTAACACACCCACTCTGGGGAGAGTGCAGGAAGCCGGGCTGGGACTATGGGGCTTTCCAGGAGATGGGCGCCAGCACCCAGGAGACAAAGCCTGCCCTTCTCTCTCCAGCTGGGAACGTACCACCCAGCCTCTGCCACGGGGCACTCCTGAAACTCACACTGTACTTGGACCCTTGCAAAGGGTCCAAACCAAAGTGCCAAAGCCCCCCAATCCTCAGCTCTAGGGCTCCAGAAAGGTGAGACCCAGCATCTCTGACAGCCAGATCGGCAATACTGGCATCTAAACGGGCCAGGGCACTGAGTAACCAGCACTAGGAAAATGTTCTTTCATTTTTCTTATGTCTGTGCCCAGGGATGATTCATTTGATTTTACAAGTAGAGCTGGGTGTCAGGCTTAGCCTAAAGTTTCCCAAGTGAAAATGAAAACAGACATGAGTAACACAACTATTTATAAAATATTTTGAGATTATATGTCTATTTGTACATTTCTTCCATACATGTTTGTCTCTATAGCTAAACACATTTCCAATCTATCTCTATGCTTGCCAATGTTTATCACTGTCTCTGCATATTTCTTATATATCTATAACCATATACCTATATAAAGGGATCTTCAAAAAATTCATGCAAAATGCACATTATGAAAAAAAGGATGGATTTCAGAATTTTTTGTATCAAAACACACTTCTTTTTGAATTCCATGAACTTTTTGAACCACCTTCCTAAATTTCCATTAGCCTAGTTATCCATCAATCCCAGAGGAAACATCCATACTCGTTGTAAAAGACTGAGGGATCCATTCATTCAACGCAAACAGAGCATCGACACATTACCAGGCAGGCCGAGTGGCTGGAGGGCGATAGGAGGAGACACATCACAGTTTTACAGAAAGAAACCCGAGTTCAGAGATGGCAAGGCCACCTCCTAAGGTCACCCAGGAGGCGAGGCTTTCGGGGCCTAATGCAAAGCCAGAGAGCTGGGCTCCTCATCCGAAGTGCAGAAGAGTGATGTGACAAGTCCCCCAACGGGAAACAGGCTCCTCTCCTTTGCCGTCTCTCTCTCATCACGGCAGTGCTCATTTGCTATTTTATACCGCGCTCCTTGGGGGTACTGTAGCCTCCCAGGATTCGGGGCTGCCCCAGCACCAGCACGTGTGTGTGGCCCACTAGCACCTGGTTCCCCTCCTCCCACTCACAGGACTCACCTCTGAGGCTCGACCTGGGCCAGGAAATCCAGACAAGCATTTTCCCTTCCATGGCCCACCCCCTCCCAACCTGTGGGCCACAGGTGACCCCAGGGACCTGCATCCTCCCCTCCGAAACACTCACTACCCGCGTTGGGGTTGGGTGAGCCGGGGTGACTGGCCCTGGCCCGTCCTGTCCCTGCACCGAGACAGGGAGGGGAGGCTTCCTGGGGCTCTGTGTGCCAGGAGAATGAAGAGCAGGCAGAACCCACTCTGTGCAAACAGGCGGGAGCAGGGACCACACAGGCTCCCTCCCTTACTAAACCCACATTCAAAGAGCACATGAGGCATTCCAAGGTGGCACCTGTGTGACGGCAAGGATTGGACAAGGGCCTGAAGGAGGTGAAAGGTCAGATTTTTTTTTTAAATTCATGCAGAGTTTTCTCACTGTGTGCATTTTCCCTTGGACTCTTTGAAGACCTCATTTGCCTCAAAAAGCTGAAAATAACTGATTTCACACAAATAATATATTTAGATCAGCATTCTTCCGAGGGACATATGTTAACAGTTGCTTTTTTAAAAAGCCTTAAAATTTTATTTATTTACTTAACAGCCAGAAACACACACACACACACACGGATTCTCTCATCAGCTGATATACTCTCCAAACGTGCACCTACAGCCGGGCCTGGGCTGGACTGGAGCCAGGAGCCAGAAACTCAATCCACGACTCCCAGGGAGATGGCAGGAGTACTGCCTCCCAGGACTGAAGCTGCAGTGGGGAGCAGAGCTGGGAACTGAACCCAGGCACTCCTCTAAGGGAGGCAGGCATCCTCACCACTGTGCCAGCTCCACTTACTAACGACTGGCCTGAATGTGGAGCCGTGTGTGAGCCCTGCATCTTCGATGGGTCGCCCGTTGTGTTTCTCACCATGGTCCAAAGGACTTCGTGAGACACAGGAACAGGAAGGGACGGAAATCTCAGAGCAGCCTTTAGGTTATGCTGCAGGTCCTGACTCGCTCGGATACCTTTGAAGCTGGCTCTGAGCGTCTAGCATCTTCTGCTGCGGCAGCTCCAGCTCTCCCAGCACTCACGCTGCCTTCCTCACCCCCGTACCTCTCAGATTTGACCCAGCTGTCTCTTCTGGTGCCACTCCATCCCTGAGCTTCTGTTTACTCAAATCTCTCTCTTCCTCAGATCCCTGTTCCCCAACCCTCTCCCCCAGGAAGCCCTCCCCGATCAGTGCTGCTGCTGGTTCTCGGGTGGCAGAAACCCATCTTGGCCTTGATTGCATGAGGCTGCCCAGTTCTCAGTGTGTGTGTGTCTGTGTGTGTGTGTGTATGCACACATCATCTCAATGTTAGCATCACCCATCCTGTCCCAGCAAAGAAGGGGCTTCTCTGTGTGTTGCACCCTCTCACAGGTCCAGCCACACACTCAACAAGTATTTCCTAAGTGCTGGTTTCAACACTACAGGGACAGAGCTCCATTAGCTATAGCTACAAACCAGCAGCAATGGTACTTTGCTCACTGGGCATTTCTAAGGATTTGAACAACAGTATCTGGTATTTATATAAAATATTATCATGTAAAACTGGTGGAGTCAGGACACAGAGAAACCACAGTCCAGACTAGCGACCTACCTGTGCTGTGCCCCCTAGGCCACAGGCGACAGCCGAATCCCCCACCCCCACACCTACCTTGCGTTTCCTCTTGGATTTTGGCAAAGCCTTTTCGGGCGGCGTGTCCAATGCTGGCAGTGCGCTCTCTGGGTCCTTAGCAGCAGGGCCGTTCAAGACCCCTGGCTCCTGGGGCAGGTGTTCCGGGATCCTGGACAGGAGGGTCAGGTCAATTTTCACCCAGAGAGACCTGACCTCATCGCTGTCCTTCAAGGGGGACAGAAGTTCGTTGCGGCCGAAGGGGACCAGCGTGTAGAACTGCTCCTCTAGCTCCTTGGCAATGTCACTGGTGGTCCTGGCGTTGATGGGGCCTGCGGGGGCCCGGGGTCCGCCCCCAGTGCTGATGCTGCTGGTAGCTTCCTTTAGCCTCTGGTCGCTGGCACAGGAGGAAGAGGAGGAGGAGGAGGAAGCGGAAGAGGAGGAGGAGGAGGAGGAAGAGGAGGCGGCGGCGGCGGCGGCGGTGGCGGCAGCGGCAGTGGCGGCGGCAGCAGCCACGGTCTGCGCTTTGGTCAGAGGGTACTCCTCCTGTTCCGACTCCAGGTCCGAGTCAGAGGAGGAGGATGAGGAGGACGACTCAGTCTCGATGAACTCCTTGGATTTGGGGACGGTCCTGCTCAGCCCCCGGGTGCGCCTCTTCTCGCAGGGCACCGAGGGGCGCAGCTCCTTGCGGTGGCTTGTTCGGCCGTTGCTGCAGGGCCTGGCTTTGGTGGGCTCGGGGGCCACGGCCACGCTCGCCCCCAGCGTGTCTGCAGCCACGGGCTCCTCAGGGCGGTGGCAGTTGGCACTGTCCCCGGCTGAGGTCCTCTCCGTGCGTCTGGTGGGCTTCTTGCCTGCGGACCTGCGCGTGGGCGCAGGCGCGCTGTCCACCGGTGCGCCAGGCACTGCAGGCGGCGGGGCGGCTGCGGCCGCGGTCACGGCCACGGCCGCGGGAGGGGACTTCTGCTTCACTGCCTTGTTCCCAGGGGCCTTGTTGGCTGTCCTCGGCCTCTGTTCCTCCTTGCAGACGCTCTTGCTCTCCTTCTCCCTCAGGCTAGCTGGGCACACGTCGGGGAGCTTCCCGCAGTCCTGCGCCTCCTCTTTCACCGGGGTGTAGTACTGACTGCTATCGGGCCCGTGGTTTTCATTTTGGACCAGGACGGGAGGCTTGTGGGGATTAACTTTGTTGAGCCACTTATCCAGCTGCCACTTGTTCGAGGACGCCGGCTCGGCCTGCAAACAAAACCAGGGACAGAGCACACAGCTGTCATTGCAGGCTCACAGAGAAGGGGTGGGCGGGCTGGCTGTATCGTGAACTCTTCTGAGTGTGGGAGCAGAAAAGGAATGGGCCGTAAGCAGCAGGAGAATGGGAGCAGCAGGTGAGTGTGTGGCCGCCCTGGGGGGCAGGGAGGGAGCCCTAAGGCCACCTGGACGGTGCTACCCTTCCAGGAACCTGACACCAAGGTGTCAGGGGATAGCATTGAGCCCTGTTAGAACCCACTCTCTCACACTTTTGAGTGTTAAACAATCCATACTGTTGATAATTATACTAGAGATGTAGACTTTGAGACTATGTGAAACCTAGCTGGGGGGGGGCAGTTTTGAAGGCTGAGGATGAAAGTGATGTTTCTATTTGTTTTTGGTGAGAATTAACACTCTGGGGCAAATCTGAAGGGAGCTGAGTGGAAGCTACAATCCTAAAGAAACCACAGAGCATTTATGGGATAAGGACAAGGAGGGCACAGCGACTGGGCGGCTGAAGCAGTAACTATGGGGAAATGCTTATCAGTATAGAACCCCTCCTTCGAAGGGGCTGGTGTGCGTCCTCCATGTGCAGGCGGCCAGATCAGGAGAGCCCTGCCTGCCCCTGCTTCTACCACACGCTGCCAGAGACGTTTTGGGTCTGGAGGGGATGATGGAAACCCTTCCAGTTTTGCTAACTCAGACAAAGTCACAGACCTCACAGGTGTTTAAACTCTGGCCCGCGGATCAGTGCCAGGGGGTCGTGAACGGCCTGCAATGGAACGGAACATGTTGTGCAGATGCAGTTTTCTGAGAGAGGCCCCTAAATTTTAGCTGAATTTCTAAGGATCTATGTCCCCAAAAAGGTTAAGGACCAATAATTTTACAGGGAGTAAATGTTGCTTCTTAATGAAAGTCTATGAATCCAGCATTATTATTCTGTTTTTTCCTAAAAAATAAAAAAAGATTTACTTATTTATCTGAAAGGCAGAGTTAGAGAGAGAGAGAGAGAGAGAGAGAGAGAAAATGAATCTTCCAAACACTGGTTAACTCCCCAGATGGCCACAACAGCTAGGGCTAGGCCAGATGGAAGCCATGAAAACCTGGGATTCCATCTGGGTCTCCCACGTGGGTGCAGGGGCCCAAGCACTGAGTCATCTTCTGGCTGCTCTCCCAGGTGCACCAGCAGGGGGCGGGATGGGAAGTGGAGCAGCTGGGACTTGAACCGGCGCCCCTATGGGATGCCAGTGCTGCAAGTGGCAGCCACTAGCATAATGATTCCTATTACAAAAAAAAGTGAAGAACCTTAGCCAGAGTAATTTCAGTGTATAACCATGAGTGAAATGGGAAAAGCATTCTGAGTGATCAGAGAGATCAATTTTCCCTCTCAGTGGCCTCCACACTCTGAATTGGTGGATTCCATTGCTGTAGTGGCAGGCTAGCACCAGCCTAGAATAAGAAGACATTGCTTAAGTTTGTATTTCAAATTTGGTTGAAATCTGGAGCGAATCAAGTTCCAGGTTGGAAGAAAAAAACTTTAAAAAAAATATAAATTCCCAAAGCTTGCTTGTAGGTATCAAGATTTGTTTTCTTTCTTTTCTTTTTTTTGACAGGCAAAGTGGACATTGAGAGAGACAGAGAGAAAGATCTTCCTTTGCTGTTGGTTCACCCTCCAATGGCCGCCGCGGCCAGTGCGCTGCGGCCCGCGCATCACGCTGATCGGATGGCAGGAGCCAGGTGCTTTATCCTGTTCTCCCATGGGGTGCAGGGCCCAAGGACTTGGGCCATCCTCCACTGCACTCCCTGGCCACAGCAGAGAACTGGCCTGGAAGAGGGGCAACTGGGACAGAATCTGACACCCCGACCGGGACTAGAACCCAGTGTGCCGGCGCTGCAAGGCGGAGGATTAGCCAAGATTTGTTTTCAACGGTCATGTCTGTGTGAATAACTCAGAGCAGACCTCAGGGCTGTGGGCCTAGCCACTAGATGTAAGGATCCGAGAGGGTGAGGTGGGGGCCGTATCTTAGACCCCAGGCTTCTGTCTGAATGTGCTAGAGCCTGTGACACAGTTCAGGGGAACAGAAAGCCCTGAGGTCCCAGAGGGGGCAGGGGCCCAGAGGAAGTGGCCAGAGAGTGGGTATCAGGCAACCAGAGCTATGGCAGGGACTGTGGCCATCTTGCCGACTGCCCCCAACAGACGACACTGACCACCCTCCGGGCATCCAGTGACCCGAAGGGCCAAGATTTCAGAGGCCAGAAGGAGCAGCTGAGGCTTTCCCTATGGGGCCGTGGGGCTGCAGAAGCTTCACCCTGCACAACACAGGTGCAGGAAGGGAGACCCTCACACATGGCCCTGGTCTTGGCCTTGACCTTTGGTGCCAGGATTAAATCCTAGTGGCTCTGAGAGACCACACAGACACAGGCAGATGCAGGCACTGTCTCTTGCCCCGTCAGGGGACTCTGTCAGCTGGAACGCCAGCACCTGAGGCCAGTCCCACGGGTCCTGACTGAGCTCAGACTGTGGACAGCTGGGACAGTGAGCCTAAATAAACTGCTTTCTTTTACAAAGTCAGGCTGCCTCGGGTATCGGCATAGTGATGAAACACTGACAAATACGCGATAGTGTAGCAATTCATGTACAATGACATGGTTTTTAACAGCCACAGCTAAAACAAACAGCTCATAAGAGGCTCAGCCAGGCACCTTGCCAAGCGCTGGCACCTTGGGGTGCGTGGCTACGTGCGTTCATGGGGGAAGGCAGTGGGGCACGTGGGTGCCTTGGGAGACCATGAGTGTCTCCTTCTACACCCATCTCGGGATAGTTCAGAAAGTTCGGGCCAGGAATGTTTTGCTTTAAAACAGTGGAATGTGAGGTGCGTGGTACCGAGAGCTCCCCTGTTACGTGGGGTTCAGGACAATGAGTCTCGTCGCTCCCTGTGCAGTGACTTCTCGGAGGTCACGCTGCTGCCAGTCCTCGTGAGGTTCGGTCTGCGAGCGTGTTGCTTTTCTACAAGGCGTGTACACGCCGACCTTGGGGAAAGCATTCCAAGAACCCTACTTCCGTTCCAGTGACGACACTGCTCTCCAGCAGGACATGGCAGGCAGCGTGGCTCACATAAGCATTACCGGTCTGCAGCCCCTTTGCACAGAGATCCGAGTAATGGAAGACTTGACCTGGCCTCAGGTAGCTCCTTCAGGGGATCCCTGCTGCTCCCTCTCCCGGGCAGGTGGGGGCGGGGGTGGGGAGCGCTCCTGATAGCTGCTGAAGAACCAGAACAGCCTGCCTTCTGTAGTCGGGGAGTTCAAGGCTTTGGAGTGATCTCAGTGACTTTTAGGAAGACTTTGCTTAAGGTGCTGTGCAACTGCACAGCTCCAGGCAAGGTTTTAGCCCATGCAAGGGCTCTAGGGTTCACATTTCAACACGAAAATAACCAGTGCTCATGAACTTAACCTGCAGAGTCACGGAGGAGAGCCTGGATGGGGTGGACTTCACAGACTTCGTACGTTTTTATCCATCCTCGTTACCTGGCTCGTGCACTGTCCTGCATTCACAGGTATTTCCTACAACTAAATATTCTGGAGTTTTCCAAGAAATGATAGCATACATCAGACTTCAAATAAGTCTGCTTAACTCCTCTAAGTGATCTTGTTTAACTCCGGTGTGTGTTTTTTTTTTTTTTTTTAAGCGGCAGGCATTGTAATGCAGCGGAAAAGATTAGAGAGACAGAGAGGAAATGCTCCCATCTGCTGGTTCACTCCTCAAATCCCTACAAGGGCCATGGGGCACCAGCAGGGAGCCAGGCACTCCATCCAGGTGCCCAACACGGGTGGTAGGGGCCCAATTCCTTTTTTTAATTTTTAATTTTTATTTTTTGACAGGCAGAGTGGACAGTGAGAGAGAGAGACAGAGAGAAAGGTCTTCCTTTTTGCTGTTGGTTCACCCTCCAATGGCCGCCGCGGCCGGCGCACCGCGCTGATCCGATGGCAGGAGCCAGGTGCTTCCTCCTGGTCTCCCATGGGGTGCAGGGTCCAAGCACTTGGGCCATCCTCCACTGCACTCCCTGGCCACAGCAGAGAGCTGGCCTGGAAGAGGGGCAACCGGGACAGAATCCAGCGCCCCGATCGGGACTAGAACCCGGTGTGCTGGCGCCGCTAGGTGGAGGATTAGCCTAGTGAGCTGTGGCGCCGGCCCAAGGGGCCCAATTCCTTAAGCTGTCTTCACTGCCTCTCAGCGTCCGCAGCGTCAGGGAGCGGCAGTTGGGAGTGGAGCCAGGACTTGGAGCCAGGCACTCGGATATGGGACAGTCGTCACGCGTGCCAGGCCAGATGCCCACCTCCGAAGTCCTGTGCTTCTCTTTGCTTGCCTCCAGTGGTCTCCGTTAGAATGGCAGCCTTGTGAAGACACGGACATTTCTGCTCATTTAGTTGCTGTATTCCAGAGCCAAGCACTGTGTCTGGGGCTGATATTCGATAACTATTCGCTGAATGAACACCGAGTAAATGAATCAATGAACAGATGGATGAGATGAAGAAGGAATGATAGTGCTTTTTCTGAGAAAGCCAGGTTACACCAACCTATGACTTTCATATGCTGATACTGGTAAGGGCCTTTCCCTGAGAGAGAGAGAGAGAGAGACGGGGAGGCAGGGACTCCCTGGAATGCAAAGTGCTGGGAGATGGCTGATTTGGGCACCAGTGGAGAGCTGTGCTACAGAGCAGCAGGTGCAGAGGAAGAGAGGTGGGGGGGGGGGGACAGCACTGCCCCTGGTGCTCAGTGCTCCTGAAAAAAACTCTGAGCTTCCCGCAAGGAGGGAGAGGAGAAGACGCTACCCAATGAAGCTGAGATGGGAACACACCCACTCCAGGCGTGGTGACATTTAAGGCACAGGTGACACGCTGGAAACGTACACCAGCCTGCAGTTGGTTTGGTCTCTTGTCAGGGTCTATTTAGAAACTTGACCCCCCACACGTACAGCGGCTTGTACGTGAGAAACCCACCGGCACAGTCCGAGGCAACGTCAAATGTTTACGCCGTCAGGAAGAAATTGTCCTGCTTCTTCCGTAGAAATCCAAGTCTGCCCTAAGAGCTCCAGGCTTGAGCAGCTCAGCGGCGCCCTTCCCCAAGCATCTTTGTACTCTGAATTACTATTTAATTTTCCCCTTTCCTCTTTAGAGGAGAAATAGCAATGGTTTTTATGGGGGGCTTATAATGTTTTTATACGAGGCCCCTAAATCTCCCTCGCAGATGCTTATCATACCTATAAAAGGCTCCATGATTATTTGCGGGCTGATGCTAATTTTTCTTTTTTATACTTTCACAAAGAAAACACAGTGTAGAAGGTTTTATTCATATTTACAGCCCTTGTTCTCTTGATCCGTGACAAACTGCAAAAAAAGGTAAGAGTCTAAACATGTCTAATCCATAAAACCCCTTCCTCAGTGGCTCACCGGGGGCCACACTTCCCTGTCTGCTGAGGGCCTTAGCTGACCCTAAGGGAGACCACAACCCCAGGGGATTTCCCGTCAGCCATGTCTACAGCATACAAGGGAGTTTCTGGAAGTCAAGGTCGAGACTTTGGGACAACGAAAGGTGATGTTTCTGAATTTCTCAGGAAGCTAATGGGGAGGAGGGGACAGACAAGCAAAAGCGAGGTGCCCAAGGCCCCACTAGACCCTTGTGTCTGGCCCTGAGGCTGCGAGAGGTGGGGGCATCAGGCTGGTGGGCTTGTGGGGCTTACCTCGGGGCTGGAGTAGTGGGGTGCCTTGCTGCCCTCGCTCTCGCTGGAACTGCTCTCGGTCTCCGAGTCGGATCCGGAGCTGCTCTCCGAGTCACTGGAGGAGCTGCTGCTGCCGCTGCTGCTACCGCTGCTGCTGCCCTGGCTGGAAGGCACGGAGGCTCCACAGTTGCTCTGCTGGACCACGGCGCTGCCAGCCCGCCAGGCCCCCCGGGAAGCAAAGGGAAGGAAGGCCAAGTGAGCAAACGGGAAAACAGCCCCGAAGGAGGCACACCACTCACACAGCTATCAACCGGGAGCTGGACCTCCACAGTCCCCAGCGCAGTCCCCGGCAGCCTAAAGGTCTACAGCAAATTACAGCTGCAAATGGAATTGGGCGTGAAAGTCGGCGCCCCGCAGTAGTCGGGCACGGGTTGCGTGTGTGGCCCTTCTAGTTGGGATGCTGGTGCAGTGTCTGAACGGCTGTTTCCATGCGGCTGCTATGCCGGGACCGGTGTTTCTAATGCATCCCTGAATCCCACCAGCTACCAAACACAAGGAAATCCAAGACGCTTGAAATATTTGCAAAGTGGGACGTGCATGCGTTGTTTGCTTCGTCTGCCCCAGGAGGGAATGTGGCAGCTGGCGGGGCTCAGGAAGACGGCTGGCGGGCAGGGTACAGCGGCTGCCCTGAGCTCCCGTGGCCTGCTGGAAGGTGCCAGTGACAGCGGGGCCATCCAAGTATGAGTCTTGCTGCTCCTCTTTTCCCGTCCATGGAGGTGAGGATGGGGCCGCTACAGGAGCTAGCCTGCTGTTTAAACAGTGACCTTCCTCTGAGCTCTCCGCCAGAGAACGGAAGATCCCTCCCTGACACCTTTCATGCATTCCAGACCTTAAAATTCACACCCAGCGCAGTGCCTTTACAGAGACAGCATTTCAAATTTACACTCCATGTTCACATCCATGCTAAAACTCGCCAGCAAGTCATCGACGGGAAACAAGGACCAATGTTTTCCAACAGTCATTAATTAACCACCAAACACTCAAAAAGGCCACATCCACCCAAAAACTGCCTGAGCCAAGAAGAAAATCCAAGGGCGCACCTAGTCCTCAACATCTCCAAAGTCCTTTATTAACCGGATTCAAACTCACCTGAGTGTGTTCTTTTGCGATCAAGCTCTCAACCCACAAGTGCTGGGCACTTTTTTAGGGTGAGTCAGCAGACATCTGCTAGCTGCTGGCAATGGAGACCCTTTCTTCAACAGGACTTGGTGACTACTACATGAAAGCCAGGGCCCAGGGAACACGAGAGGGCTTGGGGGCTCCACTGTTAGGCAGCTCGGACAAGGAAAAGGGCCCTTCCCACCCATCCCTTAAATCTTGGACAAATGCTTTGCTCAAGGATAGACTCTCCTAAATCCTGGGTTGTGGGGATGGGAGGGGGCTCTTGGATTCTTGCTTCTCCTATAATAACTCCAAGGCAAGAAACGGTTTTGTGAGAAATCCCACAATGAAAGCACCCATTAGAGCAGTGGGGTGGTGGTGGGGAGTAATGGGAGTTTGAAGAGGCTCTACCTAGAGGTTTTCATCTCTTCCGACCAAGGTCATGCACGGTCCGTGCTGACCACCCGGCACAGTTCTTCCACGTCAGATAATACGTGCAGGCCCGGGCCTGCCTGAGCTCCAGAGACTGCACTGCCAGCCCCTCACTAGTGTTCGGGGTTGGCTGAGGAGTCCTGGAGCCTGAAACAGAGTAGGGGAGGGACAGTCAGCACACAAGGGGCTGTGATATCCCTTTCTGCCCTTATGGAGCAGGATCAGTCTTTCTAGTGGGGTGAATCAAGATGGCTATGATTGGTGAAATTCTGTATGTATATAATAAGACTATTGGGAGAAGGGCTGTCATTGTGCTGTAGCAGGTAAAGCCACCACCTGCAACACAGGCATCCCACATGAGCACTGGTTCGTGTCCCAGCTGTTCCACTTCCGATGCAGCTCCCTGCTGATGGCCCGGGGAAGAGCAGCAGAGGATGGTCCAAGTGTTTGGGCCCCTGCCACCCAAGTGGGAGACCCGGATGGAGTTCTGCCTGGCCCAGCCCCAGCTGTTGTGGTCCTCTGGGGTGTGAGCCAATAGATGGAAGATCTCTCTCTGTAACTGATTTTCACATAGATAGATAAATAAATAAATAAATCTAAAAAAAAAAAGACTATTGGGAGAGATACAGATGGACAGATGGAGAGAGCTCCCATTCTCTGGTTCACTCCTGATGCCCACATTGGCCAGGACTGGGCCAGGCTGAAGCCGTAAGTCAGGAGCTCAATCCAGGTGTCTCACTTGATCTATCACCTCCTGCCTCCCAGGGTGTGCACTAGCAGAAAGCTGGGCCCCAGAGTTAGAGCAGGGTATCAAACCCAAGCAATCCAATGTGGGATGAAGGTGCATTTTGCCTTTTTTTTTTTTTTTAAAGATTTATTTATTTATTTATTTGAGAGGTAGAGTTAGAGACTGAGAGAGGGAGAGACAGAGAGAAAGGTCTTCCATCCGCTGCTGGTTCACCCCCCAGATGGCCGCAATGGCCAGAGTTGAGCTGATCTGAAGCCAGGAGCCAGGGGCTTCTTCTGGATCTCCCATGTGGGTGGAGGGGCCAAGCACTTGGGCCATCTTCTACTGCTTTCCCAGGCCATAGCAGGGAACTGGGTCGAAAGTGGAGCAGCTGGGACACAAACCAGCACCCATATAGGATGCTGGCACTGCAGGCAGAGGCTTAGTGCACTACATCATAGCACCAGCCCCAAGGGATGCAGGTGTATTAAGTCATGGCTTAACCCCTAGGTCATATGCATGTCCCACGACAATTGGATTCTGACTAAACATGAACAACTGGGGGCAAATCAGGGATTTGTCTCTAGGCCCCCAAAACACTGGCAGAGAAAACTAAGAAAAGCAAAACAAGACACCGTCTGCTAAAAGGAATGTGGGGAAAGATGCAGAAAACAGATGTGTCTCCAGGCAGCATTTGCTGAAGATCAGGAAATTAAGATAAAATAAGAGCATTTTGATTGATTTTATAACATGCTGATTAATCAGTAAATGGGGACTTCAAAAAGCAGGTGGATAAATGGAATTAAGAGTTAAGATTAGGGGGGCAGTGTTACAATATAAGGGGTTTAAACCACTGTTGAGACACTGAGATCCCACATGGGTGCAGGTTCGTGTCCTGGCTGCTCTACTTCTGATCTAGCTCTTGGTTAATGGTCTGGGAAAGCAGCAGCAGATGGTCCACGTGTTTGGGCCCCTTCTACTTATGTTGGGGACATGGATGAAGCTCCTGGCTTGGGCCTGGACTAGTGTTGGCCATTGCAACCATTTAGGAAGTGAACCAGAGGATGGAAGTTTTTTTTCTCTCTCTCTAACTCTGACTTTTCAAAATAAATAAATCTTTTAAATCATTTAAAAAAAAAAACAAAGACATGGTCAGGAATCTTTTAGATTTACTTATTTATTTGGAAGGCAGAGCTAGAGAGAGAGAGAGAGAGAAAGCGCGCGCGTAAGATCTTCCATCCTCGAGTTCACTCCCTAAATGGCTGCAAAGGCTGGAGCTGGGCCAGGCTGAAGCCAGGAGCCAGGAGCTTCCTCTGGGTCTCCCACATGGGTGCAGGGGCCCAAGCACTTGGGTCATCTTCCGCTGCTTTCCCAGGAGCATTCGCAGGGAGGGAGCTGGATTGGAAGTGGAGCAGCTGGGACTCGAACCGGCACCCACATGGGATGCTGGCGCCATTGTCAGTGGTTTTACCTACCATGCCACAGCACTGGTCCCCATTTTCTTTTTTAAAGAGATAAGATTATTTTGGTGCAAAAAACCCTTGCGATCCACACATAACTTTTTGGTAGTACATTGTCTTTTCCATGAACATTCAGAAGACTCATGTACATACTACCTGCTGTCATTCAAACAACAAAGAACGCACGGTGTTCACTGTGTGTGTCCCTGGGCTTTGTGTGTATACAGCAGAGGCAGTGACATGTGTGCAATTCCCATGTCCTGCACCACAGAAAGACTGACTGTCTTCTGCAAAGCGGCCTTCATTCCCGGGGGGAATGTCCGTGAAACAGTCACTGTGCTGTCTTCCTTCAATGACTGCCATCCTGGAGTAAGGACACACGAGCCCAAGGAGACGAGATCTCGAGTAAGACGGACAGAGAGCCTTATGCTTTTACATGTGCCTTCCTTAAATTAGGAAATTGACTTAAAATGACAGCTTTACAGTCATAACTATTATTTATTTTTAATATAGCCGAGGGTGCCAAGAATCTAGGGTTTTCCTCAAGCTTTGCTTATCAGGGTTGAGAGGTCCATGATGTCTCTGAGCTCACAAATGAATACACAGATGGCTCCTGACATGAGACGGTCGCAGCTTAATGAGTTTTTGACTTTACGATGCTATGAAAGAGACGCACATGCAGCAGGAACTGACTTGGGTCTTTCCTTGGCAAGGGCCGTGCAGTCTAGGTAAATCAGCCACGGCCTACAGTGCACTGCCACTCAGCTGGGGTGCCCAGTGGGTTAGTTGTATTAAATGCATTTTTCTGGCTGGCGCCGCAGCTCACTAGGCTAATCCTCCGCCTTGCGGCGCCGGCACACTGGGTTCTAGTCCCGGTCAGGGCGCCGGATTTTGTCCTGGTTGCCCCTCTTCCAGGCCAGCTCTCTGCTGTGGCCCGGGAGTGCAGTGGAGGATGGCCCAAGTCCTTGGGCCCTGCACCCGCATGGGAGACCAGGAGAAGCACCTGGCTCCTGGCTTCAGATCAGCGTGGTGCGCCGGCCACAGCGGCCACTGGGGGGTGAACCAACGGAAAAGGAAGACCTTTCTCTCTGTCTCTCTCTCTCATTATCCTCTCTGCCTGTCAAAAAAAAAAAAAAATGCATTTTTCCACTTAGGATATTTTCAATGTACAATGCACTTATCAGGACGTAGCCTCATAGTCAAGTCAAGGAGCATCTGGTATTTCAATGGGCCAGGTAGGAAGATGAAGCCAGAAATGATCCATGTCAGGGAGGGGGCAGGCCTGGAAGGACTCTGGGGGCTCCAGATGTGGGGTCAAGAGAATCAAGCCCACCTCCATGCAGGCAGCCCCACTAACTGGTCTCCATCCGGGTCTCTGGGACAAGTGATCCTCGTGGCCTCAGTATCATGCTGCCCTTGCTGTGGGTG